CCTCTACTTCCCCTTATTACCATGGAGTCCCATATCTGATTTCAAACTGAAGTTACTTGGAAAATAGGACTCAGGTTACAGAAATTTGTTTTATATATAAATTAACTATGTTACTTTTGCCAAAAATGGATACTCTATTTTTTTTTCAATCTAAGTGTCTTTCTGGAGATTGCTGCCTTGAATTGAATTTACCAGATTTCTCAGGACCTAACCATTTTCTTTGAAAGGGAACTAATCCTGACTATAATTGTTTTCTTTTTGCTAAGATTGTTCCACCTTCAGTCCATGGGCCACAGCTGCAAATAAGAAGTGGCAGGGACCACAGGGTCATATTTCCCTACCATAACCTGGAGCAATCATTAAAAGTGTTAGATTGCATCATGAAGGCTAGTCCTAATTTGACCTGATAGTGGAAAGCTCTGTAAAGTCAATTGTGACAGTAACTATAACAGCAGCTGGGCACAAAGAGATCATTGATCTTCTTTCACAAGAGTCATGAAAATTCTTCAGTGCTCTCCTCAAAACCCAGGAATCATTTGCATCTGTATGGCAGACATCATTGCTTATAAACTAAGAACCACACTTCATTCTGAGATGTTTAATTTGCTGGTTCCATTGGATGAGAAATGTCATTCTCCAAGGACCCCACCCCCACCCTTCCCTAATATGCATACTCTCTAAAGTGGCCTCATTTGTGTTATGAAGTCAGATAATCTGTATTTTGACTTGACATGAAATAACAGCTGGTCAGCTCTCTAAACCAGTCAACCTGGTTTTAGATGAGATTACATTACCACATGGACTTAATTGTGATCATAAGCTACAGTAGTAGCAAAAACCTATAACACCAATGTTTATTATCCATTTTCCTTTATTTTTATCAATTTGTGCTTCCCTTTAGAAAAACTGTATGTGTTGTGAGATTAGGCAATGAGGGGACAAGATGTGAGGAGAAATGAATGAGCAAAGTTCAAAGTTTTATTAAATTTATCCTCAGAGGTAAAAGGGCAAGGACTATGAGAACTATATAAGACTTTAGAAAATTTTTTTTTAAAAGATTTATTTGTTTATATTAGAGAGAGAGACCGAGAGAGAGAGAGAGAACATGGGGGTGAGAGGCAGAGGCAGAGGCAGAGGAGAGGGAGAGAGAGAGAGAATCCCAAGCAGACTCCCCGCTGAGCACAGAGCCCGACGCGGGCTCCATCTCAGGACCCTGAGATCATGACCTGAGCCCAAATCAAGAATCGGATGCTCAAATGACTGAGCCACCCAGGTGCCCCAGACTTTGGAAAATTTCTAACATTGCTCTGTTAACTATTTGTTACCCCCTCATTTGTTTTTCTTGCTGTAATTATCAGTAGAACCTTTAAAAAGTTAGACATGCTATGCTCTCATTTTAGGGACAATAAGCAAGTTAATAGTTGAATAAAATGCATCATCTTTCACAGGCAGTTTGGGGGAGATGAAAGGAACCCTCAAAATAGAGGAGGTGGTAGTTTTGAAAAAGGTAAGCAAAGCAAGGTGAATCTCTGGGAGCACAGCAAGGAATGGTCCCCAGGCGAAGAAGTCCCCCCCCCACCCTCCTGGGGTTTAGGCCTGTCAGGAATTCTATAGATAAGATTCCTGTACTGCATAAAAGAATGAACTAAATAACCTCAAAAGTTTCTTCCTCATCTAATATTTTCCTAATATCTTCCTAATCTAATGGTTTCATCGTGCCTAGTAGAAAAATAGGAGAAATAGCTTCCATAAGAGATTTAAAGATAAATTCTGTAGTTTCAGTGACAATTACAATATGGTCATTGCTAATATTTTACATTTAAGTCATAATTTCTGCAGTAAGAATTCTTTAAAGTGGTAGTTTTCTTTTTTAGAACTTAAATCATTTTAATGGGGCTATTTTATTTACAGTAGCATTCAGCTTGGATCACATATACATGACACAGAAAAGTCTCTAAGTACCTACTGATTTACTGACTTATTGGTTTATTTAGTGTTGTCTTAGGGGAGAAATAAAACAATACAATAAAAGTGGCTAGAAAGCACTGGTGTCAAAGGATTTTGCTATCTCTACAGCCCTTGTTCTTAAACTACAAATCTTTGGAGACTGTATTGGGTCCCTGATAATATAAAATGTGGATTCATATGCAGTGAATCAACTTACTGAATGACAGGTCTTTCTCACCTTGATATGAGAGCCTTTTCTATAAGAAACAAGGCCTGAGGGGCACCTGGGTGGCTCAGTCCTTAAGTATCTGCCTTCAGCTCAGGTCTTGGTCTCAGGGTCCTGGGATTGAGCCCCACATCAGGCTGCCTGCTCAGCGGGAAGCCTGCTTCTCCCTCTCCCACTCCCCCTGCTTGTGTTCCCTCTCTCGCTGTGTCTCTGTCAAATAAATAAAATTTAAAAAAAAAAAGGCCTGAGATGGTGCACTAAATTATCAGGATTTTCACATATCTGGATCATATCTGAGGTGGATACACAGAAAATACTTGAAATCTCAGTTTTATTTAGTGTCAAACAAAAATATATATGCTAGTATGAGGAACAAAATACCTAAATCCCTAAAGTTATCATCTGGGACTAAATAAAAGGCAAAACAATTATAGTCAAATATCTATGAATGAATACTTTTAATTAGCAGATTCTTTTCCTGAACTCCAACTTTTCAAACAGCAATGAAAAGATTCAATGAGGGAAGTAGGGTTTATCCCTGGATCAGAGCAATTTCAGACCACTCTCCTCACATTGTACATCAACAATTCTAGAAGTTGAGGGGCACCTGGGTGGCTCAGTCGTTAAGCGTCTGCCTTCGGCTCAGGTCATGATCCCAGAGTCCTGGGATCGAGCCCTGCATCGGGCTCCCTGCTCAGCAGGAAGCCTGCTTCTCCCTCTCCTACTGCCCCTGCTTGTGTTCCCTCTCTCGCTGTGTCTCTCTCTGTCAAATAAATAAAATCTTAAAAAAAAAAAATTCTAGAAGTTGAAATGGAATAGAAATAGAAATTCAAAATTATGGTAGTGGCAGTTAATATTTATTGAGTATCTGCTGTATGCCAGATGTAATGCAGAATGTTCTACATACATAATTTCATTTTAATCCTTTTAACAGTCCCATGAGTTAGGCACCGTTATTAGCTTCCCTTTATAGATTATGGCTCTGAAGTTCTGTAAGATCTTCGGTCATCTACTTAATAAGGCAGGGAAATGGACTAATATATTCTGTAAAATTATCAAATGCAAAACAAAGTAAGAAAAAATTTTCTGATTAACTGTCATTAATCAGAACCTCCTAATCCCTGAGCATTCCTTTTGATCAAGCTTTCACCATCCTGCAGTATAGTACTCAAATGATGGAGATGCATTTGAAATCTAATTATTTTAAGTAATGTTGATATAATCAGCACCAGAACTTTTAAGTTGTGGCATTAATTCTTATCAGCTGTCACGTCTTTAACTACATAAGTTAAAAGAATGAGTCACCTACCCCCTCCCTATTGAGTATTAATTAACTCATCCAACACTCACTATGTGCCAGGCATGGTGATAGGCACCAAGGATACAGTTGGGGGGTGGGGAGAGAGGGTAGAGTGTTGGGGTGGCTATCCTCCTAAGAAGAGTTTACAAACTTACAGAGAAAAGTTTTTTTTTAATTCACTTAGAATAGTAGGATAATAATAACTTTAAATATATATATTTTATCTTTTTTATCTTTCCAACAACCCGGTACAAATGTTATCAGTCCCCTTTTACACATCATGAAACTAAGACTAAGGGAGATTACACAAATTGCCAGCTAGTAAAAGACACAGCCAGGATTTTAACCCCAATCTGTCAGGTCCAAAATACATACTGTTTCCATGATACCATTCCATCTTCCATGGAACTTGTTTTGTTCAGTATAATACTGCAGAAAGAAACACCAAGAAAAGTTTTGCAATAGTACACTACTCACATTTGACTCTGGGACCACTCAGGTGCAAGAAACATCTTCATTTGTAAATTGTATTAAAATCTCGTCCTTATAAATCGTCTTGGTCATTATTGGAATGTTTTTTAATACATAGCAATTGATGTTTGTTTCTTTAGTTCTAAACATAGTAGGGATTTAATAGAACATAGATATGATGCAGTGAATAGTTGACTTAAGATACAGGAGTTTTCATTGTTTCACTTACTCAGATGATGTAAGGAAGAATGTTTGACAAGTCCCAGAAGAAATTTAATGGAGGTGTTCTGAGTGAAGTCTGATTGCTGAAGAAATGGTATTTGTTATGTGGGCTGAAAACATTAGCATAGGGGTACTTTTAACTAAAAACAATAATGTAAAGACATTTTGTTAGAACCTTAGCATTCATTTTACTGAAACTTGATTGACTTTTAGCTGACTGGACTCCAAGCTTTTGTTGAGCTTTACAACACTGTCTCAAGAATTAGGGGCACCTGGGTGGCTCAGTTAGTTAAGAGACTGCCTTCGGCTCGGGTCATGATCTCAGGGTCCTGGGATCGAGCCCCACATCTCTACATCGGGCTCTCTGCTCAGTGGGGAGTCTGCTTCTCCCTCTCACTCTCCCTCTGTGCTCTTGCTCTCTCTCTCTCAAATAAATAAATAAAATCTTTAAAAAAAAGAGAGATAACCTGAGGAATACATGACCAAGCTTTTTCAAAGGAAGAGTGGGTTCAACCATAGCCACACTTAATGAGGGTCCTATCTCTTTAAGGAAGGAGGTAGAAGATAATTGATAGCTTGTGGCCAAAAATGTTGATTTCCCAGAAATGTCAGGGATCTTCTCAAAGATGAGCCACAGTCTTACAAGACCCTACATTTTCATTCTGTACTCTTCAACAAAATCTGGAAAAATTACACAGGGCAACAGGCTTTAAGGAACTCACCTGTTATTCCTAGGTTCTTAAAGGTTTAGAAAGTTTTCCTCTAGTGGCTCCTATCTAGAGACATCCCAGTCCTTAATGGAGTCTGGATTTTGGCTTTCTTTTTCTTCTTTAGGATTGAACCAGCTGCCCTTTGACCCTGCCAACAACAACGAACCCCTGCAGTTTGGTAGTGCCAGTGGCCCTCTGGTCACAGAAGGCCTCATTGAGAATGGAGGGGAGTCAAGCAAGAAAAGAAAGAGAACAAATGCTCCTTCAGGTAAGCTAGGCAATAATGCACCATCTTGAGCCAGTGCTGTTGAGTCACCATTTTCCCAGAGCCTAGTATGTGCCTGGCACTGTGCGGGCATCTGTAGGAACTACGGAAATGAGAGAGTCCCCTGCCCTCAAGGAACTCACGGTGGGATAGAGGGGAGAGGGAAAACACAGACGTGAATAACTCTAATAATGAGACAGCGTATCACTGGTACTGTGGTGAGTGTGGAAAAGGGGGAAAAAACCAATGGGAGCACAAACGGGGAAGAGTGTAATTCAGCCTTGGGCATCGTGGAACACTTCACAGCAGAAGTGACATTTGTAGAGGCCGCCGGGTGGCTCAGGCCGTTAAGTGTCCAACTCTTGATTTCAGCTCAGGTCATGATCTCGGGGTCATGAGATTGAGCCTTAAGTCAAGCTTTGAGATCAAGTCCGGCATCAGGCTCTGTGCTGGGTGTGGAGCCTGCTTGAGATTCTCTCTCTCCCTCTCTCCTTCCCCCCACCTCTCTAAAAAAAAAAAAAGTGACGTTTGTAGCTGACCCTTGAATGGGTAGGCTTGAGACAAAAAAAAGATGAATAAAGAGCACTGATTTAAGTTAGAAGCACTGCATGAATGAATGGTTTCACTGTATGTTTTTCTTTGTACATGTGGTGTGCTACCCTTACTTTTACTTGTAATGCAGATAACCACATATATCTGCAGCCCGCAACCCCACCTTGTTTCCCGCAGTATGCACTCTGCCACATGCATTTTATGCCCTCATAGCTCTTTGAACAGGTGATGAGCAGATTTTCCTAAATCGTTTATAACAGCCAACTGAGTTTTTATCCTCCCCTGCAATCCCCCTTTATCTTCATGTTCCATTAGCCTATTCTCAGGTTAAATTTCTCCAAAACGAGTGGGGAAGCATTAGGAGAACCAAATCTTAACTGATCATTTGGCATTTTAAAATATATCTCTTTGTTGCTTGGCTATTCATTTGAAAACAGTATCCGTAGTATGTAGAGACTGACCTGAGATTTGGGGATGGACCTAATAGACACGTTCATGATGTTTTTGTTTTGTTCTGGTTTTTTTTTTTTACTATTATATTCACCTTATAACATGGAGCATGTTTATAAACATATCTGATTCTTAGATTATAGGTCTTTCTGCTTCTAAATCAAGGTATTTGTCAAATACAGGTTCGGAAAACAAAAACACAGTAAGACACAGCTATCTGGAGCCCTTAAGAAAAGAGTGATTTTTAGAGAGCTATATTTTCTGGAACACTGGAAAGGCATAGTTTATAGCTAAGGAACTGGTGTGAGTTCTAATCCCAGCTCTATTTCTGTCTGTGGCCTGGGGGTGGTTCCTTAACCTCTCTGAGTTTCACTTTCTTCAGCTGTAAAGCAGAAATGATACTAAAACCCACTTCTTAGGATTTAAATGCAATTATATAGGTAAAGTGCTTAGCATGATATCTGCACACAGTAGTTATTTAATAAATGTTGCTATTTTGTTATAATTATATAATATTATGAACTTTATCTTTTTAAGCATCAACACATTTCACATTTTTAGGTTAACTATTATGGATACAAATTGTGTGTGTGAACGTATCTGCCTTTTTAAGGCATGTATTCAACTCTGATCATTTAGAGGCAGAATTCCAGATATTAGTTATTGTACTGCACCATAATACTGTATTATAGTTTTCAGGGTTTGCTAAGGAATATAGGACTTTTATCTCTACAGTGTCCTAGACTCTGGTAGCTTTTAAGTTATTACAGCCGTATTTTATATATATCCTGTCTCCTTTCTACAGTCTGCAGTCAGTTAGTTCTGGTTTCTCAGTGTCCCTTCATGCAGCAGCCCTTTTTCTCCTTCTAATCAGTTACAAACTTTAAAAAAAAAACAAAAAAACCCAGCCAGCTCCAAATTGGTGTGTCAGATTAGTACATTAAGTAAGAGTTAGATCAGCTGTAAGAGAACCTGCTATGGAGAGAGTTATAGGATTTAGGGCATCAACTTTAAGACATCTATTTTGGCTGCTCTGAGGCCTTTTTTGATCACTTACTAGTTTTTCCACTGTGTTCATGATAAGTGATGTGCTAGTTTAGAGTAATACCTCCTGAACTGTAGTTAACTCATGATGGTGGAGAAAGGGGGTATGGATTCATCTGAATTGTGAACTAACTTTAAAGAATTGCAGTTTTATTTCTAATGAGCATATTCAGTGAGAGCAAAGTAACTGTTGCAGATATAGGATTTTAGCAGCAGATTATGCTAATCTATAATTAGCAGAATCAGTTTGCATTCAAATAATGAATATGCTGAAGTTCTTAAAAAAGACTATTTTCTTTAAATAGGTGAAATAGGCCCTGGCAGGCTAAATTAACTCCCTTGCAATCTTTTTTTACACTATTTGCCTAGTGAACCCTTTCTTTGTAAGTAGTACCCTTTCTTTGTAACTCCAGCTGAGGTGAAATTATCACAAATTCCAAAAAAGTGAAGTCCAAATTAATGAGGTTTTACTACATAGGGAGTCTCTTATAATTGTTCAGCTGGCAATCTTATGGTATTATAAATGGGCAGATTGCTTTATAATCATTTTTCTTTCTATGCAGTGCTAGACAAAAGGAAGAGAGAAGATATTTTGTGAGTAGAAACTTCCTTCTTCCTTTGTCACCATCCCCTGCATCTTGGCAAGTAGGAAGGCTAGGGTTGGAAGTCCTTAACAGAGTTACCGGCCATTTCAGTTCTAAGCTGAACTACACATCCAGCCATTATATCCCTGAACCCTGTGACCCCTTTGAATCAAAGCCATCTTTCTCCCTCTCTTGTCACTGCAAATGAGGAGGGGTCTTTGTAGTTCTAGTTCCTCACCACACCTTCTGTTTTTCTTCCTTTCCCATCCATCCCTCTTAGCTCATCTTTATTTACAATCTGCCTCTCTCCTTTTATACTAAAATTGATTTCTTAAAGGTCACCAGTGACCTCCAGATTGTCAAAGTTGGTGGTCTTTTGGCTGCTCTCAACCACCTTGACCTGTTTGGTTCATATGATGCTGTAAACAACCTCCCCTACCTTGAATTCTCTCTATTTCAGCTTTCCTTGGCAATACACTTTATTGTGAGATTCCTCTTCCTTTGCTGTCTCCTTCAAGGACTCTCTCCTTTTTCTCCCTACCTCCATTTTCAGTGAGTATACTATTATCCACATTTGTAGGTGAAGAAATAAAGGTTTGATAAACTAACCTAAGGGTGAACATCTAGCAAGTGGTTTAGCCAGGCCTGCAACTCCACAGCTTATCTCTAACTACTATGCCACATTTACAATGCCTGTAGATATTAGGAATCTAGACCCATTACTAAAATGTATGTTAAACATTGGTCGCACACTAGGGAAATCTGTATTTGTGTGAGGATAAGGTGAGCAAAGCTTGGATTTGATCATTTCTAGGATCCCTTCAAACTCTGAGATCCCATGGTCCCTTCTTTTCAGCTTTTTGTTGCCCCGGCTACTGCTCAAAACAAGTCTTCTAGTTCAGGCAAGGTGATCTGCTACCAAACAAGCATTGTGCCTTAGTACCCTGCTCATGCCATTTTTTTTTTTTTTTTTTTGTCTAGCATGATCTTTGTTTTCTTTAACCTGTCAAAGTCCTGTCCAACTGAAAGCACCTAGTACAAGTCCAGCCTTCTCCAGGAAGCCTTCCAGATCATCCATTAGAATTGTTCATTTGTACCTCTGAAACCCCTTGGTCATTATGTTCATATGACTCATTTGACACTGATTGTAGATTACCTTGCAGTTATCTTCTCACAGGAATATGTCTTAGCCTTTTAACTCAGTCATTAGCCCCTTATTGGAAGGGCCCCTGACTCATATGACTTTTAGCAGAGATACAGTGTCTTGCACAGAATAGATGCTCAAGAAATATTTGTTAAGGGGTGCCTGGGTGGCTCAGTCAGTTGGGCGTCTGCCTTTGGCTCAGGTCATGATCCCAGGGTCCTAGGATCGAGCCCTGCATCGGGCTCCCTGATCAGCATGGAGTCTACTTCTCCCTCCCCCGACTTGTGTGTGTGCTCGCTCGCTCACTCTCTTAAATAAATAAAATCTTAAAAAAAGAAATATTTGTTGATTGATCATGTATCTCGTTGAATAATTGCTTTCAGTTGGCCTTAATAGTCACTATTATTCTCTTGTCATTGCCAGAGTGGAGCTGTGTATAAAACTGGGCACTTGGTATCTAATGTTGATTAGTTGATTTCCTCACTTGACCCTAAAGGTCAAACTCCAGACATTTGTAAGATTATATCCTTAGATAAGCCACACATCAAATCTGGGTGCTTGTGAAAAGAATACTTTCCCCTAATGGAATCTTTGCCTTTTTACTAGGTGAAATTTCGAGTGCCCAAGGGAAACTCATAGGTGGAGTTTGGGTGTCATGTCCCAACTCCTCTGTGAAGTAGATCAGTAATCTGGATTAGATAATACTGCAGTATTTGACCACAGACTCCTCCTTTATAAATCTGGCTGCTTTACATCCTTTATCTTTTTTATCAATTTTTTTTGAGAGGGTAGGGGGCAAAGGAGAGGGAAAGAGAGAATCTTAAGCAGGCTCTGCACCCAGTACAGAGCAGGACGTGGGGCTCGATCTCAAGTCAAGAGACAGATGCTTAACCAACTGAGCCACCCAGGCACCCCTGCAGCTTTTATCTTAAGGTGAGCTCGGCATTCTTTAGTGTGTTTGCTCTCAAATTTCACCTTTTCCCTATAGAAGTGTTTCCTCGGTGATGATACAGTAGCACAAATGGTCTAAGATTGCAGTGAGTCCACTTATTCAGATGATACTCTATGGCTAAAGAGTAGACCACTATTAAACCCTCATCAAATCATAATGCCAAGTTCCTGTCCAGAAGATGCCAGCTGCCTCTGGTTTGAGATCTACCTGAACTTGTAGAAGCAGAGATACCAGTCTTCTTCCCAAATACTTCCACTAAAGTGAAGAATTCATGAGT